CAATTTGTGAGCTAGATCTGCGTTGGCTGAGTGGTTTTGTGTGTGTGTGTGTGTGTGTGTGCGTGCGTGCGTGCGTGCGTGCGTGCGTGCGTGCGTATATGAAACTGAGATTACATAAACCACTTTCTGAATATTTTTTTTGTAGCTGCTTTGGACTTTGTGAAGGCTCATCCACAAGACCCCATCAACCAGAAGGAGTTTGACGACGCATGTGGAGTGGGTGTAGTCATAACACCTGAGCAGATTGAGGAAGCAGTGAGTGTTCTAGCCAAAAGTGTGTCTTTTTACGTGCTGTACTGGGTGTGGTATGCACTGTAACTGTGTAATGTACTGTAGGTAGAAGCTGTGATTAAAAAGCACAAGGATCAACTGCTAAAGGAGAGGTACCACTTCAACATGGGACTGCTAATGGGTATGAGCTCCCACCTTTTGGTTAAATATTATTGCAGCTGCTGAAGCCTAACAGCCAAAAATAATTTCTCACTGAGCCTCTGTGTCTGGTGCAGGTGAAGCACGCACTGCTCTAAAATGGGCTGATGGCAAGGTGATCAAGAATGAGGTGGACATGCAGGTACGTCTGGGAAAAGATCCTTCTGTTATTGCAATGTCATTGTGGTTAAGTATTTGCAGTGAAGGTCGCTGGGATTCTTTCAAATAATAAAGCTCTGGCTTTCATCTTAAAGGTTCTGCACCTCTTAGGACCCAAAACAGAGGCTGACCTAGAAAAGAAGCCCAAGGTAAAAGTGGTGTATCTTATTAAAAAGTTGAACATTTCTGGAGCCATTTTTATGCAAATTCTTTGCTGTCTTGGGGTAAAACATTGTCCAGCAGATAGTTAATCTACACACACAAAAAGCTAATCAACTAAATGATATGTAGTGTGTTTAAGCTTCAGAATGAGTTAATTTTGTAAGTTCTGTGTAGAGCTGAGGTAGAAATGCATAGCATGATTTTTTTGGTCTGTAATTAATATATAATCATCTTTCAGGCACAGAAAGCTAAAGTCACAGAGAATGACGTGAAGGTGAAGAAAGAGGAGGTGGCGGTGAACGGTAAGCAGCAAAGTCAAAAACAGACAGGGGTGCTTTTGTCTTGAAGTACTTTTTAAAACTGTTTATTGATTGTTTAGGTGATGCAGTCTCTGGGGAGGGCAAGTCACTAATGGAGCAGCTCAGAGGAGAGGCACTGAAGTTCCATAAACCAGGTGAGGACAATTAGAAATGAAATGATCTTGTTGCATTTGAAAAAGGTTTCCTTAATCTGTTCACACTGCAGCCCTCAATGTTTCTTAAAAAATTAACCAACAAAGCTATGTGTATGAGAATGCTTATTTGTGTATCGATGTGCTCGGACATTAGACAGACTTTCCCTTGCTGGTTTCCTGGTTTAAAAAGTCAGATTGAGCCCATGTAAGAATGGAGCACTCCTCACCACCAGCTTTTCTAGCATTCATGTGAAAAGGGGGACTTTTGTCAATGTGTCTACTTGGTTATTGTGACTTTGAACTATGTTTATTTCTTTGTTCTTGATCGCGCAGGAGAAAATTATACAACTGAGGGCTACGTGGTCACACCGAATACAATGAACTTGCTTAAAAAGCACCTGGAGTTCACAGGTGGACAGGTATAATATTTTCGCGACTTGAATGAACTGTTACAAATCTTACATAGTTAAAAAAACAACAACATTGATCCCATTTACCTGTCTCGGCATGTCTTTAGATACGTACCCGTTTTCCTCCTGAGCCCAACGGTATCCTTCACATTGGGCATGCCAAAGCTATCAACTTTAATTTTGGCTATGCAAAGGTAAGTTAATTTCTTCTTTCTTCTTCAACACCATATAAGCTTTTGAATGTTCTCTTGTGCAGGTGTTTACTCTAAACATTGTGTTCCCCCATAGGCAAATAATGGAATTTGCTTCCTGAGGTATGATGACACAAATCCTGAGAAGGAAGAGGAGAAATACTTCACTGCCATCAAAGATATGGTGGAGTGGCTGGGGAAGTTTTTTGACGTTCTTGGGCACATTATCTACATTCATGGAGCCATTGTCATATCACTGTTTTGCTCACACAGGCTACAAACCTTATGCCGTCACACACGCTTCTGACAATTTTCAGCAACTCTATGACCTTGCTGTGGATCTTATTCGCAGGTGAGTGCAGGATATGTGGAGATGTTGGTGCACGGATGGTGTTTGACTCATTTCTTTTCTCCGCCTTCAGGGGTCACGCGTATGTGTGCCATCAGAAAGGCGAGGAGCTGAAAGGCCATAATGTTCCTCAATCACCGTGGAGAGATCGACCCATCGAAGAGTCGCTGGTGCTGTTTGAGAGGATGAAGAAGGGCCTGTTTGCTGAGGGAGAGGCCACCCTCAGGATGAAGATGGTCATGGAGGATGGAAAGATGGATCCTGTGGCATACCGAATAAAATACACACCGCATCATCGGACAGGAGATGAATGGTATAAATAAAAAAACCCACAACATTTTTTTCTCACAACAATGTATTCCTAGTGAACTTGCTTTATCTTTCTTTGCAGGTGCATCTATCCTACCTATGACTACACTCACTGTCTGTGTGACTCCATTGAAAATATTTCACACTCACTGTGTACCAAAGAGTTTCAAGCCAGGTATACAGGACTTTTTTTTCCCCCATCTTCATTAGGTTCATTTTAGCTTTTGCTGGATTCTTACAGAATGACATTACTGTTTTTGTTGTTGACCTTTTTGTGATTCTGTCAGGCGTTCATCATATTACTGGCTGTGTAACGCTCTGGATCTGTACTGCCCTGTGCAGTGGGAATATGGGCGGCTGAACCTCACCTACACTGTTGTGTCCAAGAGGAAAATCATCAAACTGGTCGAGACGGGCGTTGTCAGGTAAAGTAGGATTTCTTTTTGACATTTTTTTTTTCAGACTTAATTATTTACTTTGTAATGCAAATTAATAGAAGTGGCAAGGAAATATGCTGCTTTTAAGGGCTGCTGAGGCACTCCATCTCTTTGTAAAATAATGTAACAAGTTTATTTTTAGGTGTAGGCAGGAAAAGATAGACCAACGTGTATCAACTCTTAAGTGTTAATCAGAGTCTGGTAAACATAAAGTCATTGAGGATTAAAGGCCATGGGTAACAAAAAATCTGCAGCAAGGTATTTGACCCCTAGAGGGGATTGTAATCAAAGAACAAAGACCCTCACATGTCAAAGAAATTATATAAAAAATATTTTACAAAGCAGTGCAGAAAAATAAAAAATAAATGTGAATTTGTAATAGATCATAATAAAAAGGCTAGAATTCAACCATTAGACTGTACATATATTCACATACTATGCTTATGATTCAACAGTTTTATTTTTCTATTCATAATTTAATTTAAAATAACCTTATATCAGAAGCACAGAGCTGAATCTAAAACACAAGGTTAGCTATGTTAACATGGCAAAAAATCCTGAACATACTGGTTATTAATCACTATGAAGGACTCGTTACCTGCCCAGGATTTGCCCAAACTCTTAGCCAGTAATAGCTGGGATAGGCTTCAGCCCCACAGTCCTGAATTGGATAAGGAGATCCATAGATAAAGCCAATTTTATTTATTTAACCCCCTAAGACCCGAACTCTTCCATGGCATGCATTTTTAATTTCTCTTTGATATTTGGACATATTGGGGCCCGATGAATGTAAAAACAAAGAATTACCAGATTTATTTATTTATTTTTTTACCTTTGTTTTTAAGAAAAATAAAAGCCACATATGAGGATATTCGTTTAAAATTTTGATAGAACAGTAGCAGTATAATGTCCTCGTAAGTGGATATCAGGCCCTTGTAGAGCAAAATTGAGTATTTTGGTCTAAATAACCCAAAATGTGATGTCCACACATGTGGACGTCAGGTCCTAGGAGGTTAATTTAGTTATTTAAATCAGTGGCCTTATGTCATTAACATAAAATGTAGCTGAAAGTCTGTCTTTTAGATTTGAGAATAATATCAACTTTGTGTTGAAAGTCAGTCAACACTGGCATATAACTACATATTAAATGTTGGACCTGTGTATCCCTACCTGGTAAAGTGTTTTATATTTCCAGTTTTTGTTACCATTCAACTGAAGCCCTTTTACTTAATTGTCATAGAGATAAACTCTAAAGTCACTTCTGATTTCATTGTTAGAATAACATAAAAGGCTTTATGCACTATTTCCTTTTAATTAGATACTTTGAGATTAACTGAAAAAGCTGTAGAAATCAAAACTTTTAGAGAAAAGTTAGCTGTATGCTTTTGTTTTGTTTTTTTCCCCCTCACATGTCACATGAGATGCTGTATTGCACAAAATGTTTAGACAAACTAAAGCAGACTTTGTGGTTCAGCAGTGGTAGCAGTTTCGTAGCCTGGGGATGGCCTGTCCATCTGCACAGAGCTCTGTTTTCTATGGAGGCGATGTACAAAGTATGTGGTATAACCAGTCTGTGGGCTGTTGTTGGTCCATGGAGAAGTTATAACATACTGTGACGGAGTTACATCGCCCAGCCGCAGACAGCTGATCGGGGCGCATATACGCACCGCCACCATTAGTTCTAACAGACACCAATAAACAAAAAGGGGTGAAGGGGGGGGGATTTGGAGCAGCATAGAGGGTGGCCAACTTATTTCCCCTTACCTTGTTAATAAAGTCGGTCGAGGAGACGTGCTGTGATCTCCAATGATGCGGGATGATGCAAGCCGATGGTATGGTGTTCCGGGGTTTAAATAATGGGTTCACGTGGGCTTGGACGGTCACGTGAACTGCATCCTTTGTTTGGATTGTTTTAATGTTTTGTGAAACATTGTAGGCTGATTGGAAGTTGCCTAAGAGTCTGTATATACATGTGTGTTGTGAGACTACAGTGGGAAAGAAGCTGAGGGGGGACAGTGAGGATTACAGTAATAATAAAGAAATGATTGTTACGTCTAGGGGGAGGGGCTACGGGATATAAGAGACAGGTCATACGGGGTGGGAGAGAGAGTCCAGTGAGCTGTTACAAGGAGGGTAACATGCAGGCTGGGTCGGGTATACAGACGTTTTGTTGACACTGACCTAAGTCAATTCTATTTGCTGTAAATAATTTTCTGTGCACTGGGGAGGCCGGCTAAATAAATTATCCACACTAAAAGACCTTACCGACTACGCCTGTGTTTGTTGTCCGGGAGAGGGTTAAAAGAGGACCCCGCGACACATACAAAGAGCTGAAGTGAAACTGAGCAGCAGCTGTCTCTGCTTTTCGTACTGATTTTTGATCTAGCTTTGTAAACTAATCAGCATTCGGCAGACACATCATTTGCGTCCAGTAATGTGCAGTGGGGATTTTGGAAGACTGCACAGGAGCAGGTCTGGTGTTGGTTTAAAACCCTTTCCGCTTGCTGTCTGAACAGAAACATGTACGGAGACGAACACGTTTGCAGGACCATAATTTAGGCTTAAGAGTAAAAACCCTTACATCAGAGCTTCCACCAGATATAGACCACTCAAATTAAGAATTCAGCCCCACTGTATTCAGTTAGTATAATTCGAAAATCATTTAATTGTGTAGCACTCTAAATAGAAACATTTCTAAGGTTTGCAATGCAAAAAAACTTTTTCCAGACTTAGTTTTTCCCTGATATAACAGAACAAAATATTGGGACAAACCTGTACATGACATTTATCCGAAAGCAGCACATCCAACAAAAGCTGACTTCAGCAGCTCTCTGGATTCACTAATGTTTTAAACTCCATATCTGAGTAGGACCTTAGTTTTCCCCAAGCATGTTAAAAGCTATTAAAACAAACTAGTTAATTACTTCATTGTAGGGAATTGATGCAGCCTTTTGACCACAGCTATTGTTGTGATGTCTTCATTGTGCATAGCCTGCGTTAAGTAACTCTTAAATATTTGTTTCTAATTACAGAGACTGGGATGATCCCAGACTCTTCACTCTGACTGCACTGAGGAGAAGAGGGTTTCCCCCAGAAGCGATCAACAACTTCTGTGCACGAGTAGGCAAAATGAATGCAATGATGAACTTTTGGATGTCCCATTCATAAGTGCTGTGCTAACACTGTACACATCTCACAGGTGGGAGTCACAGTTTCCCAAACGACGACCGAGCCCCACTTACTGGAGGCGTGTGTGAGGGATGTGCTGAATGAAACAGCACCTCGAACCATGGCTGTGCTAGAACCACTCAAAGTCACCATAACGAACCTTCCTGACAACTTCAAGGTTTGTACATTGCTTATAAAACAAATCGCTTGACCTAGTATATTCTTTCACATTATATTTAAGGAGAAAATAATCCTTCTGTCTTCTCTTTCAGACAGATGTACGAGTCCCGGACTTCCCTGCCGACGAAGCTAAGGGCAGCCACACGGTTCCTTTCACGCGCACAGTCTTCATTGAACAAAGTGACTTCAGAGAGGTCAGAGAGGAGAAACCTCCAAATAAATGATTTTAAAAAGCAGCAATTCTTTGTGCTCTTTTTGGTTTTGAGATGGGCAACGATTATGAGGTTATTCTCTTCTTTGGCAGGTCATGGAAAAGGGCTACAAGCGCCTGACTCCAGAACAACCTGTAGGCCTGAGGCATGCTGGGTATGTCATCTCTGTCCAGAAAATCATCAAGGTAAGACTCAGTTTCACCAAGTAGACAATATAAAATAAAATTAAAATGTGTTTTCCATGCTCTAATCCTGTAAAAACATAAACAGGCCCTTCAAACTTTTCTTCATCACAATATATTTGTGAAGGTTTTACATATATCTGTCCAGTCAAACGACATAGTTTTATAAAAATATGATCTAGTTATATTAAACTAGAGGTTGTATTCTAGAATATTCAATTGCGGCAGTAAAATGTCATTATTACTTCATTATCTGGTTATCTGGTTTATGACACACATGTTGCTCTGAACCATTTCTCAGGACACTCAGGGCAAAGTGGTGGAACTGGAGGTGACCTGCTGCAGTTCTGAGACCGCAGAGAAACCAAAGGCCTTTATCCACTGGGTCAGTGAGCCACTGGTGTGTGAAGTGCGCCTCTATGATAGACTGTAAGTCACAAACAATTACCCATCATTCACAAACATTTCACAAATAATATAACTAGAGAATTCACCTAACCAAGTATCTTCTTGTATCTGTAGCTTCTTGCACAAACATCCAGAAGATCCATCTGAAGTGCCTAATGGCTTCCTGAGTGACATCAACCCTGTGAGTATCTCTGAACTACAACAGAAGGCTTTTGAAGTGTCAGCAGTCACATCGATTTCTTAATTTGTTTCTTCATTTTTTTTTAAATTTAGGATTCCCTGCAAGTGATCAGTAGTGCCTTAGTGGACACCTCAGTCAAGGGAGCAAAGGTTTTTGATAAATTCCAGTTTGAAAGAGTCGGCTACTTCTCCGTGGACTCAGACAGCACTGCAGATAAGGTACGGAAAGATTTTTTTTATTTTTTATTTAAAACGAGGTTTGTACAAATTTGTGGAAGCTTCTATTTCAATTAACTTTAGTTAATTCTTTGATAGTCTTGGTCTGGATTAAAAACATTTATGCAATATGAGCTGAAACCTTTTTCCTTCTTTCACTGCAGCTCATCTTCAACAGAACAGTTACCCTGAAAGAAGACCCTGGGAAGATCTGATTGATTTGAGATTAAGCCACTCTTCCTGCTTCAGAGATGCATGTTCAGATTTTCTTGCATTACATCAATGTGTAATATCAGCAAAGGCACAGACTGAGTCAGATGAGATACTGGAATATTTTTTTCAGGGATTTATCACTCAGAAACGAAACAAAATTATATTCCTCAGCTATGATCTTATTCATCACAAAAACACTGCAGCATGACTTTGACCTAGCTCATTTGCTCAGTAATCATTAAGTCTTTTTTTTTTTCTATACTTGCCACAATAATATTCACTTACAGTATTTTCTCTTGTTTGTTGAATGGATGAAGCTTTCATCATTGTTCAACAAGGGCTGTTTGTGTATATTATGTGAAGCTGGTGTTACACAAATGTGATGCTCTCAAATGCCACACGTGACTTTTATATATATATAGATTCAGAGGCTGCCAAAGCATCATGTTTTTTAAGACTAGGCAGATTGAACATGTGTCCTTTTGACTGGAGCAAAGAATAAATAATTCTACAAACTGCAGCGTCCATGTGTATTCATGCTGGTTCGGGATACTTAGTTTTGTGTGTGTGTGTGTGTGTGTGCGCGTCGGGGGTTCTATCAGTATTAATATTGAGTATTTTTCTTAGCTGGAATGCTTATTAAGAAGGAAGGAACATAACAATAACCATTGAGAAAAAATATAATACTGGACCACTATTGATACCTACTAAGCATGTTAGTGGTGCTTGCAGTGCAACCTGTGAGCCCATGGTGGAACTTGGAGACATTTTTATATTGCTTGTGAGCAACAGAGCAAGAATGAACTGCTATACAGTTGATGTCATGTTGTAACATGGCAGCAAAAACTCAAGACTAAGACAACAGTTGTCTTCAGTTTTTCTACACTAGCTGTTATAGCAGACAGTTTAATGTAAACACAATAACCTCAATAATGGCTAAGAAACTTCTTTTGACTGTTCCCTTAAGGGGTCAGCACAACAAATCATCAGCCTCCATTTCCCACTATCCCAAGCTGTCCTTTTCACATCAGCCCTCTGCATGTTCACCACAACTACATCCATGAACCTCTGAGGTTTTCCTCTTGCCGGGAAGCATATTCAGCATCCATTGTCCAGTATAGCCACTGTCCTTCCTCTTCACATGTCCAAACCATCTCAGCCTTGCCTCTTTATCACCAAACTGCTTAACCCGAGTTGTCCCTCTTATGTGCTCATTTCTAATCTTATCCATCCTGGTCACTCCCGATCTTAGCATCTTCAATCCTGCCACCTGCAGCTCTCGCCTTCCTGGATATTCTTCTTCCATCTGAAAACATAGTCCATGGAAACTCCTGACCTAATTTGTCAACCTGTCCATCATCACTGCAAATAAAGAGAGCCAATTCCTGATGTAATCCCATCACCACCTTGAACCCATCTAGCCTTTGACCACTGTCTCACTATAAGACACACTAACCAAGCAAAGTAGTATAAAAAGTAAAAGGATTTTATGTATTGGTACAGATTCAAACCTTCATTCTCCTCCACTTTTCTAGTAAGAGAAAACTGAAGCATACAATTAAGAAGATGTGGTCCATAACAAATGTCAGTGTGGGAGCAGCAGACCATGCTGAAGAGCAGTGCGTGGGAATTAACCCTCAGTTGCCCAGAGCCCTCTGAATACCACCCAGGTATTCAGCACATCTCCGTGGGACCACCTTAAAAGATTGAGAAGCCAGTGAACCACTAGGAGCGTCTGTCTGGTATAACTGTGTTTTAAGGTGGACTGACATCTACTTGATCTTGCCAGCTACCTCCACTGTGTGTGTCGCCTTTAACAGACAACCCTAGAAGTGTCAGTTACCGCGATATTTTGAAGAGGAGATCCCGCGATAGCACGACCGAGTTGCAACTCGTTTGCTTATTGGTCTGAGGGTACTGTTGTAAGATGGCGCCCAACGAAATATGAGTGGTCTACAGAAAGAAAAACTGCAGCTAACCATCTAACGAAAATCGAGGGGAAATAAAGAATAACCCAGCCACAGAAAACACCGAAATCACTTCGATTTCCTGCTTGTTGTAAGAGGAGTGGCGTTTCGAGGGCAGAGAAGCGGCTCAGACCTCGGCCCGGTTGAGGAAGAGAGGTAGCTAACGCGCCCGCTAACGTTAGCCTGCTAGCTTCAGAGAAAACAGAAAAAATGTTGTCGGTGTAACGTTACCGATACAAGAGAGCTAGCCGAGCTGCCGCTGTTTCCTGTTTAGATGTCCCCTGCGTGGATGCCGACGTGTGCCTGTTTGTGTGCACGGTGGCGTTTATACGCGTTTCCAAACACAGCTGTGACTGCATCTGATTTGCAAACAACACGCGGCTAGTTAGCAGTGCACCTGGCTAACCTAGCGCCTTGTGTAATCAGCTGTTAGATTGGCTGCTTTCAAAATATCGACCCACACGTTTAATAATAACACAGTTACTGTTTAAAACTTGCATCTTTTCCTTATGCAGCGCTTTCCATCGGTGGCTTGAATACTGCATCAGATTTGGAAAGTGACCGCGCTTTTGTCCCAGCTCGTTTTCACTCAGTCAGAATTAACCCTTTCCTATTACTATCGCTGTGCGCTGCAGCTGGACAGTGAGCCGTAGGTCAGTTTGTAAACACTAGTGAAACCGATGCCAGCGCAGCGATGATCATCTTCTGTATTTAATGCATTTGAGAAATGAATGGAGAAGTGTATTGTACCGATTTTAAGAATAAGGGTGATGTGCAAAGCTGTAAAATATAAAAGGGATAAACATGATAGGCCGTACTTTGAAGATACGGGAAAGAGTTGTTGAAGCTCTGTTAAAGAGAGGGACTATCGGCGAGCAGCTCTATGACTTCATCCTACGAAAGAGCACTATAGGGTGTTTACCTTGAAGGTGTTGATGACGACGTAATAGAGACGGTTTGTACTGGTGATGGACAGGCTGACAGATGAGGTCAGGCAAGAGTCTCCGTGCACTGTGATGGCAGACGACATTTGTAGTGAGAGCAGGAAACCGGTGGAGGTATGATCTGGAGAGAAGAGGAATGAAAGGCAGTTCAAGGAAGATGGACTACATATGTGTGAATGAGGGATAGACGGATGAAAAGATGAAGCTGCAAGGAGGAGATGCAGTAAAGGTGGATAGGTTTATATACCTGTGGTGTACCATCCAAAGCAAGGGACAATGCACAAGAGAAATGAAGAAGAGAGCACAGGATCTATGATAGAAGGAAGAGTGAACGACAAGAATTACAAGATGGCAGTGACATCTGCTATGATGGATGGTTTGGAGACACTGGCACTGAAGGACGGGATCAGAAATGAGTGATTCAAGAGGCAAAGTTGGAGAGGTGGTTTGGACATGTGCAGAGGAATAGTTGGTAGAAAGGATAAAGGATATTCAGTATGGAGCTGCCAGATGGGAGGAAAAGGAGAGGACCATAGACAAGATTCATGGCTAAAGTGAGGGAGAACATGCAGGGCATTGGTGTGGTGGAGGGGGATGCAAGGACTATGGTTAGATGGAGGAAGATACTCTGCTTTGGCAACCCTAAGAGGGAGCAGCTGAAAAAAAGGATGATCTTTAGTACATCTGTGTTGTCAAGCGTTACTGAAATTTCTGTTCATGTTACTGTTAATGGGCTTTGATTTAAAACTGTGCTAAATTAAATTAACTTTCCTTCACAGGAGAGAAAACTGTCAGCAGCGATGAATAACTCACTGGATGGTACAGGCTCCTATGAGGAGCTAGTTAGGCAGAAAGCTCGTAGCATTCCTCAGCATCGCATGAAGGAGTTCCTGGAGTCCCTTGCCAGCAAAGGTCCAGACGCCCTGCAAGAGTTCAGCCAACAAAGCGGAGACACTACAACCACTACCACTACTATGGTGTACCAGCAAGAGACTAACTGCATCTACACAGACAGCACAGAGGTGGCAGGGTCATTGCTTGAGCTGGCATGTCCGGTAAATAACTACTCTAAATGATTAAAACCCAGTCTTTAAAAAGATTAAAATGAAGATTGGACTGCTTTCTGATGCAGGTGCAGGTGCAGGTCCAGCCACAGCAGCAACAGATACAGGAGAACACGTCTCAGCAGCAGCCTGTGCAACAGAATACAGAGCAACAGATAGTACAGGTCTGTACTTCTATTAGGTCTTTGTGCTGTGTATATCATTAAACTTGTTAATAATTAATTTCCTGAGCTGCTGGCTTTTATTTTCAGGTGCAGATCCAGGGTCAGCAGCAAGGTCAGATGCTGGGCCAGGTTCTTCAAGTGCCCTCTGGCTCCCATCAACAGCTACAAGGTGTGACTACTGCACAGCTGATTCAGTCTGGGGAGCTTACAGAAGAGCAGCACCAACAAGTAAGTACAAAACAAATTCTCAGGATTGCAAATATTTAGTCAGTCACTTTGAATTTAATATTTTTCATCTTTACACTGGTATTAGCTGCAAGCGCAGTTGGTGGCAGCTGTTGCAGGGGGACAGCAGATCCAAATTCAGACAGTGGGGGCCCTCTCTCCCACCCAGCATCAAGACAGTGCAGAGAGGAGAGTAATGGGAACTACAGTTGCCACATCTCAGGGGGCAGGTGTCCTCCAGCCAGCTAAGAAGCGTAAAGTGGACATGCCCATCACTGTTTCCTATGCCCTACCTGCCCAGCAGGTAGCCACAGTCCTGGCTATCCCTCAGGCACAAGGTCAGCAGCAAAGTTATGTATCTCTGCGGCCAGACCTCCTAACTGTGGACAGCTCCCACCTTTACAGTGCCACAGGTACTATTACCAGTCCCACAGGGGAGACCTGGACCATCCCTGTGTATTCTGCACCCACTGCATCTGGAGGCCGTGAGCAGGTAACGCATATTGCCATCCCCCAGGAGGCTTATGGAACAGTGCAAGTTGCGGGAACAAACACTACAACAATGCCAACACAAGTTACTATTGAAAATGACAAGCTGAAAATCCCTGCCAGCCAAAGCCAGACAGCACAGGCTGTTTCCAGCATAACAAGCTCTGGAGCAATGGGAAGCCAGGAAGAAGTGGTGCACACGCTGGCCGCAAACACACTGTTCCCTGCTCAGTTGATGAATGGAAACATCCACATCCCCGTGGCAGTACAGGGCTACTCAAATGCTACACAGTCCCTTATTTGGGACCCACAGCAGCAGGTGCTGCATACACAGGGGCTGACAGGACAGGACGCACAGCAGCTACAGGTAATAACACAGGTATTCAGCTATGTTTATTTTCACTTTGAAATGTAGATATGGTAGTCCTCAGTGATTGAGATAACATTGTTTATGTGCTTATGCCTATGAAGGGTCAGACAGTCGTAGCAGAGGTAGATGGTCAAGGCCAGCAGCAGGTGCAGGTGCAGGAACTGCTGCTGCCTGCTACTTTGAAGCCAGAGGAGGGGCTGGAGGTGTGGCGGCTCTGGGCTCAGCGTAAAAATGCAGAATTGGACAAATCAGACAAAAATAAACTTGCGCCAATTGGCAGTAAGTGTGCATACCC